GGTACCTGCGCACAACAAGTGAATGTATCCAACCAAGGGCCTGGGTGCGGTACCTTTTACTCTACAGTTGACGTTGACTCTTGAATTTCCTTTGTGCCGCGTTCGGTCACACAGCCACCTCGACAGACTCAAGGCTGGGCGTGCCTCGGTCACACAGCCCAGCACAGACAACTGAGTCTGTGGTTTCCGGGGGCGAAGTTTTGAGCCCCGGACTGCTGCTGAACAGGGTTACTGCAGCTTGCAGCCATTTTTTTGCTCACATCATTATCCTATGGTCATCGGCCCATTCTATTTTGATGGAGGGATTCCATCTGGTTTGTGTTCCACCGGCAAGTCAACACGTATATTTTTTAGCAGGACCACCTACCATGGGATACGGGGTTAATCTTGCAGGCCAAGACGACCCAATGGCCTATCCAATGAAGCACCGTTGCAGTCACTCCCTTCAAACATACAAGGCTGTCTGTATTAATAATGTTGTGGGGGCCCAGGCGTTCCTTCCAGAGGAAAAACAATAACTTCGGCTTCCTACCAGCTCAAAGACTGGTTGTAGATACCAGAAGAAATCACAATCAGGAAGCATGGAAGAAGATGAAAGAACTTCTAACAGAAAAGGAACCCCTGGCCTGAGGAAACATTATACCTGCATTTCAGGAAATCTGATAGACCCCAAGAGAGTCCGGCCCCGCCCCCCCCCCCGCCCCCGCCCCCGCCCCCGCCCCTACAAATCTTGACCTTGCCCGCCCTCCTCCCTAGTCTCTTTGCCGGCTTAGATGGGTAACAAGGGGTTAAAAAGGGAAGATAGGCTGGAGTGGAGTGGGGAATGGAAGAGAGAGGTGAGAGAAAAATGGAGTGGGGAATGGAAGAGACTCGTGAGAGAAAAATGGAGTGGGGAATGAAAGACAGTGGTGAGAGAAAAAAGGAAAGGGTGACACAAATAATCGAGAAATGATCCAAAAAAAGAAAAAGAAATGGAGAGCTGACGGTTCGGAAAACCCAAGGAGGGGGAGTGAACCTTACATAATCGGCAGGCAGTTAATCCCCTGGGAGAAGGGTAATTAATGCTGTCTGATCAATGCATTTCGTCAATGATAGTTTAGAGACTGTCTCTTATACACATCTAGATGTGTATAAGAGACAGAGTCTAGGCTGTGTCTTTATCCACTTCAGAGGA